TATCCGTTGGAGATGTCTGTTGGAAGTGACCGTTGAGGGCGTTCCTTTTGTATCGCACGTGTGATGCAGCTTATCACGTGCGTGATGGCTTAAAATTGCTTATAAATGGAAATTTTTAAACCATTCTTCCTTAAAACCTCTCATCATTCACTCTTCTTTGCTTAGATTCTTCACTGATACCTCACTTTCAGTCTATTTTCTTGCTTTTTGTCATATTTTTTTGTTATTAATTTAGTGCATATGGCATAACAAAGAAGCAAAGTTGAAAGGGATTCCACTTAAAACCCTTAACCTACACCAGACACTCCTAATTTTCCCAACCTTCAGTTTTTATCTGAGGCCAGCACTGAGAAATATCTCAAGTTGGTGATTATCACATAATAAGGGAGAGGGCATTCGATTGTGATGACTTGGTTGGTTTTGGAGAAGTTTTAGAATTGCTACAACAAAGGCGTTAGATAAGATTTAATAGTTTAATTCAAGAAAAAAATAAATCCATTTCTTTATAGTTTAATGCAAATGTTGTTTTTCCAAGTTCTACTTCTTATATGTCATATGTGCGAGGTAAGTACATTGACTACTCCCCTCCTACTATTAATTCTATTCTTCTTGATCCTTATGAGTTTTGTGCAATTAGGGTTAAAAGGTATGAGAACCATATTTTGCATGAACCCATGGCTCAAGAGATACTTGATTCTCTTTGCAAGCCTGAGACAAAATGGGTAATTGAGAATAACCTTAGGTTGTAGCTTAAAATTGCTGAAGTTTACCCAATTTCTAGAGCTTGGGCTTCTTTATTTGTGCAAATGTTAGAAGCGATATCTAATCAGTCCCAATTTATAGTTAAGCGGTGTTTAGGACTTCTAGCTCTATTAAATGGTAAGCCTAAGACGTAAGATCTTTAAGTGCTCATAATATTAAATATATGGCTGACGCTGTGAATAAAGCTTGTGGGAATTTTTGTGTTATTAATGAATTATGCAGGTTAGCCAGAGTCCCCGGTTATCCAGTTGAGTTAATGATAAGCCCTAAAGCACCCACCAATGCTTTAGTCATTAGACGATTTCAACTTAATCAACCAATGGAAGCTCAACCAGAACAAGACAACAATCAAGCAGGAGGCAACGAATAATTCTACCATCCAGACATTCAAAATCAAGAGGCACTAATGCAAAATAATCAGCAAAATAATGAATTTCAAAGGATAATGGAAGCGCATGCAGTGGGAATAATGAGATGGATAACATAGATTTCACCCGCTTTGTATGCTGCCCCCTGCACTTTGATCCGGTATTCACAGACTTCTATAATCAACAACAAGATCACACGCATGCCCGAAATTTTAGAGGTTGTTTTGCAATTTTCTAAGACATGGAGAATTACTTCAGAGATCAACACAGAGAGCAAGAGAGAAGAAGATAGAATATGAGAGCCGAATGGGTAAGAAAAAACACTGATTTCAACAACACAATGAACGACATGCAAGACTTTTTATGTTGATAACTTGTGAAGAAAAATAATGTGTAGCAATTTTGAACTTAGTAAGTTTTATTTTTTCTAGAAGCCTAACGAAGTGTAATAGCTACTTATAAGTACTCTTCCCCATTGTATCAATTACTCTTTGCTTGAAATTAATAAACAAGTTTTCTTCTATTGTTTCTTTCAGATTTACAAAAGTTGCAACTTTAGAATTGAACAAATGAACCAAAGGCACTATCACATAGAACTTGATCATCAGAAAAGTGTCTTACAAATTGAAAGAGAAAGATGAAAACGAAATCAACAGGCTTGTACTCAATCTTCAAATACCTCAAATAGTATGGTTTGAGCCAAATAATTCCATTGTTTACAATTTCTTTCATTGAGTGTATCCATGCTTTATTATATTATCAAGTTTGAACTATTTTTGATTCAATTTGTCTAGTTTGATTTACATACACTGAGGCAGTTTGTTGTTTTAAACTTAGAGCCTCTTTAATCCAACTTGTGTTAATATGAATATCCCTTGTGAACCACTTTGATATTAGCCCTTCTTTCGATGACATAGCCACAACTATTAGCCAATTTACTTGAAAGATTAAATCTTTCCTCCCTCCCTTTGGAGTTAGGTAAAAAAAATAGTTTTCTTGTCTTGTGCAAAAGAAAAAGTTTGGGGTTTCTCTTAGAAGTGAGCAAATTTTAAGTTTTGGATTGGGGTACTAGAGATATTAGTTAAAAATTCAAAAAATTTGAGAGAATTTCAAAATGCATAACAAAGACCACAAAATTCTAAATCTCTAGTTCCAATAATAAGGAAAATGGTTGGTGCGATAACAAAAGGAGAACTAGGTACCTAACTCTGATGTTTTAAACCTATTTTCCCAAAAATATCCTAGCCAAACATAAGCCACGTTACAACTGAAAAAGCCCTCAAGTGTGTGTGTTATGATTACTTTGATGAATTTTGTTAGAACAGGACCAAACTCAGTATATTAAGTTTTTCATGTTAATTGAGAGATTA